AGCTGGAAATCCCCAGAAAGTGGGTTCACTCCCAGTGGATTTGTTCTTTGTCATGAGCCCAATTCAGGTAATTTRTATAGAATTAAATTCTATGTCAAGAAAGAGAAATCAAGAATTTGAAAGTATTAGACGTATGAAGAGAGCCAGTGAACCATAGAGCTTCCAGCATAGAGACTGTGAGAGTATCCTATTTGCCTTGATTTTTAGAACTGCTTCCATTCTGAACACAGAACATCTCCAATATTGGCTTATTTTTCATGATGTGTCTTTGTTCCAATCTTTGCACTCCAAAGCTTGAATGAAGAAAATCTCTAACAGACATTACTTATATCTGTCTTGTAAATGTTATGTAATTGACTCATACTGTTTCAAAATCATTATTCAAGTCCCTAAACAAGCCAACCAAAAGCAAACACTTTCCAAAACTTACTCCAGTGGCTATGCACAAAATATCGTCTGTCTATCTATAAAGCTGGTGTGGGATTGGAAGAGATAGAAGAGGAAGTTGGACAAGATCATGTGTGCCCTTTTCTCCAAAACTGTATGCTAGTAGCTAAATCCAGCCTTCACTCTAGAACATGCACTACCYTTGCCTAAAGCGCCTTTGGATTCAGGACACAGTCTATTCTCTCCATAGCAAAACCCACCATCCTCCTCACAAGTGTGCTCTGCTTTGTTTTCTCATTCATCTCAAAACCGTGTCATAATGAGATACTCTCTCCCTGTATCCAAGACAAAGAGAGCTGGTAGGATCATAATATTTTGGAAGTAGTTGTTAACCACTCTTGTTATTTCAAATAAAATCATTATTAAAATCCACAAGGAATAAAGTCTTTCAGATTTACAGTTCATATTACTTTTTAATCATAGATTATATTTTATTGTTTCATAATTTGTTTCAGGGACTCTGAAAGCCAGGAATTAAAATGTGAGGAAAAATGTATTTGGTATTTATTTAGTTTCCTTGGTTTATTGGGTATTTTTATAATGTTCTACTTAAACCATTTTGTCCCATCATTCCAGATGTGGAATACCAGTAAAAACTTAAATATAGCATACAATCTATAATATAATTATATTATAATATCAAGACTCTAATTACAATTATATTAATTAATATAATAATATATAAACTCTAGGTTATAATTTCCAGTCTATTTTAATGTACCAGTGTGAGTTTTGTTGAGGTATTCATAGAATTGGAAACATTGGACTTAATGGGTTAAAGATTTCATCAAGTGTCCTAATAATGACTCTGAGAAGGAAGGCATATATATATATATTTTTTTTTCATGGTTCATATGATGAAACTGAGGCCAATAGAACTTAAAATAAATATTCAACAGCTTAGGCTGTGCTCTTTCTGCCATTGTGTTGTTCATGATTTTAAACATTTTAGGGAACTACACTATTGTGTCATTAACTTAATGATGCCAACTGAATAAAAATTCCTCAGTAGTGGGAAAGAGTACTTCTAAATTTACTGCATT